CAAGACCCAAAACCCCAAACGGAACCCTAAACCCTGAGACCCTCAACCCTAAGTCCTGAAAGAAAAAAATCCTAAACCCTAAACCCTAAATCCTAAACCCTAAATCCTAAACCCTAAAACCCTCAAACCCTAAGCCCTAAGCCCTAAAACCCTAAGCCCTAAACCCTGACCCCCAAGGCCGCTGTACACCCGGAGAAACTACCGGAGACCCGACCCCCCCAAAGCAAAGAAGGCTGCGGATCCTAAACCCGAAAACCCGCAAACCCTGAGCCCTTAGGGTTTAGGGTTTGGGGTTTGAGTTTAGGTTTGAGGGTTTAGGAGTTTGAGGGTTTAGGATTCAGGGTTTGGGGGTTTGAGGGCTTAGGTTTGAGGGTTTGGGGGTTTAGGGTTTAGGTTTGGGGGTTTAGGGTTTAGGTTTGAGGGTGTAGGAATTAGGTTTGAGGGTTTGGGGTTTAGGTTTGAGGGTGTCTTGGAGATCTGGCCGTACCCCTCCTTCAAGTTTGCGAGCCTCCGTCTTCGCAAGCCCTTCCCTAAACCCTAAACCCTAAACCCTGAACCCTAAACCCTGAATCCCAAAATCCCAATTCCTTTTCTTCAAGACCCCACACCCCACGACCCTCGGCCCGAAGGAGTTAGGATTAGGGGGACCCTTGGGGATGCAGATCCTCTCAAAAAAGGTCCCCTTTTTTGAAGAGAGCCAGAAGTAGGGTTAAGAAGAGTCCCCTTTAAGGGTCTCCCGAATACTACAAAGGGACTAAGGCCACTTTCCTTCCGGGCCTTGACCCAAGCCGGACGGCACAGGTGGTGGCATGCCTGAACTGTTGATCCATAGATTGTTTAGGGTTTGGGGTTTAGGTAGGGTTTAGGGTTTAGGGTTTAGAGGTAGGGTTTAGGGTTTAGGGTTTAGATTGTTGCCGTGATCTACGTGCGGCTGGCAATGTCGGTACTTCATCTGCTTCTCGTCTTCGGTTGGCGTACATGCTGCAGACATGTCAAAAAGGCTTGAACAAGTACTGACCGAAGTACTCGGAGCAAGGCTGTCGGGGGTTGTTCGAATTCAACTACCTAGACCCTCCATCTACCCTCTATTCGACCCTAAGCTGAGGTTCCTGACCCTAAACCCGAAACCCTAAAACCGTATCCTAAACCCTAAACCCCAAAACCTGAACCGAAGTCTTCAGTCCTTCAGCCAGGTTTAGCTGTCGAGCAGGGGCTTCGTTTGTCCAGTCTATAGCCCTCATCCCGGAAGAGGGGTCAGGGCCTTAACCCCTAAACCTTGAATCCCTAAA